AAAAAAAAAAAAAAAACCAGGATTCAATCAGTCCCTTGCTGCTGCAACTCAACTAGTAAGTTGACTTGGATTTCGAGAATTTTTTTGAGATGGTGTGTGGTTTTGTATTTGGAGTGAGATCTTGCAAGAGGAGTTCAAATTTCACACTTTTTATTTATTCATTTATATTTATTTTTATTCTCGATCTGCGTTTTTATCGGTGTAAGCTTTTTATTACCGTTTTATACGTGATTGTCCCTGACTAACTGGGCCTGATTATGGTAAACTGTTACTTCATTTTCGGCCATAGCTATATTTATGGTTAAGGACATTTCTATATAAGTTGTTAGGTTCTTCTTTCTCTTCTTTTTCAAAGCATGTTCTTGTTAAAACCTTAAAACGTCTTCTACAGATCCGTAAAAGATGTCTTTCAGTTATGTTAACATGATAAATTATTTGATTGAAGCTGCCAGCAGTAAACAGATGCTAAAGATCTTAGTAACATTATGAACAACGTAGTAAGATGCTAAAAGATCAGACGGCCCGACTTTGGTACATAATACTTTTATGGGAATTTCACATAGATATTATGATGAACAACGTAATAAGATGATTGTCCCACTACTTGTTTTGTTTATTGAGAAAATTTTTGAACTTTCTAAAAATACATGTGAAACATTAATGAGGTTATCCAAGTCCAACAATTTCTATGTTTTTCGCATTTCCTATTATGTACACTTGCCAAATTTGTGCCTGATTTGTGTGTTAGACTATCATTTAAAGTTTTGTTAATTTGATTGATTGCCTGCTCATGAGAATGATTCAGACATTATTTGCTTGAAAAATGTTGTGGTGAATTTATCCTGTATGTTTGTAAGTTCATACCAAATATGTATACGTGCAATTAAAAAGGGTCCAAATTTGTATCTCAAATGTGGCATTATGATCTTTATGTAACGAATTCCATTCTATTCAGCATGCGGGGAATTTATTACACGAGGGCTGATCTTAGTGTATCACACTGAGGTTTGAGATCGGAATTTGGGTTACTCGGCAATTGTTGCTGAAATCGACTGAATTGTGTGGTTAATCTAGTGGACAACATGGGAGTTGAGTCTGGAACTATGCTGGAGACTGCGAATGCTTTGGCAACGTCCGACCACACTTCCGTTGTTGCAATAACGTTGTTTGTGACGCTCCTTTCTGCATGTATTGTGATCGGCCATCTGTTGGAGGAAAACCGTTGGATGAATGAATCTATCACCGCACTCATTATTGTAAGTATATCTATTCAGTTAATCTTTGTACTTGTGCGCATTCCTTCTGGTAATTTTTTTTGCAGTATCTATTTTTTTTTTTTCTCTGACACTTTTTTATTTTTATTTTTATTTTTATTTTTATTTTTTTTTTTAAATTTTGGGAATGCTAGGGTGTGGTCACTGGAGTTGTAATCCTACTAATAAGTAAAGGGAAGAGCTCACATCTCTTGGTGTTCAGTGAGGACCTTTTCTTTATTTATCTGCTTCCACCAATCATTTTCAATGCTGGGTAAGGACATAGTATACCAGTATTAGGAACATGCTTTTATATGTATTTTTTTTTTGTCTTTCTTAGTATTGCCCTTCCAATATCTCTATATGTTACGTCGAAACTTGTTATCTTACAATCTGGTGCTTTTTTACCCTCATTAGAAATATGACTGGCAACATAATATCGAACCAGGTACATAGTTTACAGAAAATAATGTGAATAATATTTTGTTTATTTACCGTTTATGTTGAGTCTAACTTATTATGCTTATGCGTGATAAAAATTTATATGTTGTGTTAATAGATTTGGATTGTTCTTTAAGGTTTTACGATTTTTTATCAATTTGAGGAATGCTGAGTTGCTCAATTTTTATCATGCACTTTGAGATTGGAATATTTAGAATTTTATGTCGAATGTGATTTTTTATGTTTCAATAAAAATGTTACTATTTGACATTTTTTTGTTTATTTAAGGTTTACGTTCTGTATATAAAAATGACGGGTATAAGTAAACAAGTACAATTAATATACTTCAGTTTACAAATGTATATATCATGCTTGAAGTTATACGTAATATATACGAATATGGCATAGCCTTAGGACTTAACTATATTTCTTAGGGAATAATGTGTGGCATAGTCTTAGGACTTAACTATATTTCTTGTTCAACTACTTTTCATAAGTGTAACATTGAAAGGCTGAAGTATTTTAGCCATGATCAGCTATACTTAGGGTGATGTTCGTCCAGCAGTACACCTCAACGGTGTATTACTGGAGATAATTTAATGTTAAATGGTTGTACCTGTCAATGATGTTGGTAAAACATGAGGCTTCGTTAAGTGATTGAATTTGAGATAATTTAATGCTACTATCTGTTGACATTCAGATTGCTTCCTTTTCTAGGAGTTCTATCGTAGTCTTGTATTTGGGTGGCAATAGAATATGCTTTTTGTTCACTATGTTCCATTTGCATTGATAGACTATTAACTTTACGATGATTTGATTTTCTTTGCCGCATAGCTGCTAAGATTTGTATTTTGGTGGTTTTCATGGTTGTCCTTTCCATTTCAATTGAATCAGGTTCCAGGTTAAAAAGAAACAGTTCTTTCGCAACTTCATGACGATCATGTTGTTTGGAGCAGTTGGTACTTTGATATCCTTTGTCATCATATCATTGGGTATGACCATCTACCAGATTTCTTTTATTTTATCGATATATAAACTGTTTTCTCGTCTCTTTAGACCTTTTCAATCTTAAATGTTGATTATCCTGTATCCTCACTGCTCGTTCTTTTTTTTTTTTTTTTCATCTCTGATGTTTACCAAAAAGAGATCTTTTCCGAGCCTGTTCATGCATGTGCCTCCAATATTTCACTCTCTACTCGCCTTTTGTAGGCACAGATACTACATGTATTTGAGAGTTTACTCAGGGATGTTGTAGAGTCTACCTTAATACAAGCGTAGATGCTAATTTTATCAAATTTCGTGGAGCTTTTCACACATGTACCATCCTTTTAAACTGGAAAATAACTTTATACAAAGAGGAAGACCATGCAGAGAGATGTTGCTTGGATATATCTTGTCCCAGTTGTTCTTGACCATGCAGAGAGATGTTGCTTGGATATATCTCGTCCCGTTGTTCTTGTTTTACATATAGGATACTTCCAGACTGAATCATGTTGTTATGAGCTAATTTAGTTTCTTTGTGTGGGAAGTACCTTATTTTCTTTCACTATGTCCTAGAATCATAAATTTACTTCGTATACTCTTTTTCTGTCTGCAAACACTTTAGTTGCACGTCAATTAAGGAATTTATTTGAAAAGGAAACTGCTGAAGGAGACAAAAGAAGTATAAAAATAGTATATGATGAAATTTGGATTCCCTTTCTAAAGATTTTGCTTCTCATTTGCTCACTATGTGGTATCGGAATGGCTTTGCTATTATCCTCAACCATTTTTATTTTGTGACAGGTGCTATTGCCTTCTTCCAGAAAATGGATGTTAGTCTTGCAATTGGAGATTATCTTGGTAACCTACCCTTCTCTGTATCTTTGTCACATACAAACACATATACACACAAATTAACATGCTTTAGCATAATGTCTCTTTTCTCTGTTTGTTATGTATTATTTATTTATTATTATGTAAATTTTTTGGTTGTAGCAATTGGAGCGATTTTCGCAGCAACAGACTCGGTTTGCACATTGCAGGTATATCTTACGAGTTAACGGCGTGCTAGTTTATGCCTAAAATATTTCATCTATAACACATGCAATTTTGCAGGTTCTCAGTCAGGACGAGACGCCACTGCTCTACAGTTTAGTTTTCGGAGAAGGGGTTGTAAATGATGCAACATCTGTTGTTATTTTCAATGCAGTTCAGAACTTTGACCTCTCTCATATCAATACTGCTGTGGCTTTCAGCCTCATTGGAAACTTTTTTTATTTATTTATCTCGAGCACTGTATTGGGAGTTGCAGTGAGTACTTCTTCCAGTCGATGTATATCTGCGAGCTTCTGAGTTATATTTATTTTTCCAATATTGAATATATATCTTTCCTTCAGACTGGTTTGCTTAGTGCATACGTCATAAAGAAGCTCTATTTCGGAAGGTTGGTGACAATATCCTTGATATTTCTCTTACATGGATAGATTTTTTTTTTATATT